TCTCCCGTCTCTCCTGTCTCTATCTCTCCCCTGTCTCTCTCCCATCTCTCCTGTCTCTCTCTCTCTCCTGTCTCTCTCTGTCTGTTTGTATCCAGTTGACTCTATTATTCAGTTCAATCAACAACGGCACATACAGATCATCACTATCAATACTATTTACACACACAATCACAGATTCACACTTACACAATCACAGATTCACACTGATACACACAAATTCACATACACAATCACCAATTCACACTCCTACACAATCACAGATTCACATTGATACACACAAAGTCACAGACACAATCACCAATTCACATTCTTACACAATCACAGATTCACACTCATACACACAAATTCACAGACACGATCACCAATTCACACTCCTACACAATCACAAATTCTCACTCATACATACAAATTCTCACTCATAGACATAGTCCCACTCATGCACACACAAATTCTCATTCACACACACAGATTCATGCAAACAAATTCTCATTCACACACACAGATTCATGCAAACAAATTCTCATTCACACACACAGATTCATGCAAACAAATTCTCATTCATACACACAGATTCATGCACATACAAATTCTCATTCATACACACAGATTCATGCAAACAAATTCAGACTAATGCACACAAATTCACACTCATAGAAAATCACAAATTGTCACTCACACACGGATTCACACACACAATCATACACAAACAAATTCTCACGCACACACACACAAATTCTCACTCACACACACAGACACTAATACTCAGACACACAGATTCTCACACACATAGACACTAATACTCAGACACAGATTCTCATACACATACAAACACTAATACTCAGACACACAGTCTCACACACAAACACTAATACTCTGACACACAGTGTCTCTCTCATACACACACAAACACTAATATTCAGACACACAGTCTCTTTCACACAAACACTAATACTCAGACACACAGTCTCTCACACACACACAAACACTAATTCTCAGACACACACAGTCTCTCTCACACACACAAACACTAAT